AAAAGGCTCACGAGATATTAAAAAAACAACCTCCCACGCAGCTAAAGGCACTAGTGTCATAGTTAGCTAGCAGGCAGTAACAGGATATTTTTTTATTCATGCGGATTTTTATAAGAGTCAAAGAAAAAACAGAGGAAGACGCTTAAGCACCTCCTTTAGGAGTGGAACGCGACAGCTAACGATAAAACCCCCCGCTCGTTCGCAAGACGTGTAAACTTGTCCATGTGGTAGTCATTCTTCCGGCCGCCGTAGCGGAAGGACGCAGAGTCATGCCCTCCGCAGGAGCGGTGAAACTGCTCCTGCCGGTTGCGGTGATTCTGCTTTATCCGGTGACTACGACTACCGGATTGCTCTACCCCAGCTGCTTTTAGGTGAAGCGATGAAGCGTGCCGCCTTGCTACACAGCGACATGGCCTCTCGTCCGTATCGGCTCGAGGACTTCCGTAGACCACTCGGCGAAGCAGGTGTCCTCGGAGAGGTGGACAGCATTGGGGCGTTACAAATGTCCCGTGTCTGGCTGCTCGACTCTGAGAACTGATGCGGCTAAGCAGAAAATTCTCGAAGTCGGGCAACTCGTAGTCTAAAGGCCGCAAGGGCCTCGTCTTGGACCCGTTCAGGCAGGAGCTGCGGGTGAAGTTTGCGCTGTGTGTCGTTCGGCACACGAACAACGCCATCCACCGGGCTTTCGTGGACTGTACGGAGAAGTGAAGGAAGTGGCGCAGGAGCGCTGGAAGGTGCCGGAGTTCGACGGCGTCGAATTAACTACCCATGTCGTGCGCCTCATTCTTCGTGAGGGACTTGGTGGACTTGCGGTGGCATGGTGATCATCGTCGTGCCTGAGCGGGCTTCCCCCTGCCTCCGGTGCCGCATGACGAGCCGCATCCGACCGAGTGCCGTGCCTTCAGGCACGAGCGGTCCAACTGCGTTCACTCCTTCGCCCCTGCCGCCGGTCGAGCGGCGTACGACGACAACACCGACGACCTCATGGATGAAGAAGAGGCGAATAAGGCCGCTGCACCCGCAGGAGCCCCAACCGATCAGCCGAAGGAGGTGGATGACTCGACCGACATCGTCCCTAGAGTTGGAACACCCCGTCGCCGCAGCTGCTGCCGACCGCGGCTCCTGCTCCTCCGCAGGCAGATGAGCCCAGTCGACTGCGGCCTCTGCCCTTCCGCAGACAGTTGAGACCCAGTCGGCCAGACCGCCTGAGAGCACCGAGGAGGGCGCGGCTCAGGCTCTTGATGGGGACCCCGCCGGGCAAGAGGTGGACACTCAGCCGGGCTCTGCTAAGCGCCCGCGTGAAGACTTCTCAGAGGCCTTCCAGGAGGGACGGCAGCGACAGCACGAGAAGAAATGGAAGGGGGTAGAGGGCTTGACGGGCGTGGACAGCCAGCCGCAGTCTTCGTCGACAATGGACTGCGACAAACTGGTTCGGTAGCCACTGTGCGAGCGTACTGCCCCCTTGCGACAGCGATCTGCAAAGGTAAGCGCCGCGGGCTTGGACTGGTCCTTTGAGGTCATGGTCTCTGTCGAAAGGCCTGCACGACTTGCGACTCTCAACGTGCGAGGGCTTGCGGACCGTCAAAGGCAACGGTAATTATACCGCCTGGTGGTAGAGCCTGACCTCGACATCGTTGCACTTCAAGAGACCAATGTTGGAGGGGCGACCAGACTGACTGTATAATGCGGCCTTTTACGGCCCGCTAGAATGTTTGCGTCAGCCAAGCCTTGGGGACGTCCGCGAAATGTGTCCTTTTGGTTCGCCAGTGCCTAGGGGCAGGAGTCCAGGCCGTCACGACTTATGTGTCATGGCGCCTTGTGGTCTTCGTTGTTTTTTTTCTTTTTCGTCGATTGAATGGCGCGTCATTTGTTTGTACGCGCCTAAGAGAGTTAGGAAGAGGAGGGTCTTTTAGAGCGCACCTCTTAGGCGCCCGTTTCCGGCTTGAGCGCCGTCGCTGTCGGCGTAACCGCGCGCTGCATTATAAGTCGTTTTCCGAAAAGACGTTACGAGAGTCATTAGGGAGGAGGAGGGAGGCGGGGAAATATAGCGGAAAAAATTCCCTGTTAGATTGAGCAGAAAATATTTCCCCACTAAAAATAGCAAAAAAAAGTTACCCGCTAAATTTAGCGGGAAATATTCACCGCTAAATTCAGCAGAAAAAATTCCCTACTAAATTTAGCCGAAAAAATTCACTGCTACATTTAGAAGAAAAATTTTCCCGCTAAATTTAGCGAAAAAAATTCCCTGCTAAATTTAGGAAAAAATGTTTTCTGCTAAACTTAGCCGAAAAGTTTCACCGGTAAATTTAGCGGACAAATTTCCCCACTAAGTTTAGCGGGGAAAATTCCACGTTAAATTTATCGGGGAACTGTTCGGCTAAATTTAGCGGGGAATTTTTTCCTCCAAATTTATCGGGAAATGTAGCAAAAATTTCACGCTAAATGTTAGGGGAAAAGGAGGGGAGGGGGAGGGGGCATACCCATCCCTCCTCACCCTCCCGTCCTCCTCCTCAAGAGCTGTGCTCTAGTTCGGCGTTACAGAGAGTCTTTCATTTTGAGTGTCTTTCATTTTTTTAAGGCAATAAGTAGTACTGTAACTCTCTCCGACTTGTTATCTTGATTGGGAACTTTAATTGTAAGTGCTCGGCATGCGACAAAACAAGGTCTGCACCATATATAGACGCGAGCACTGAGTATTTAAAATTTTAACTAACGAGTTTGGATTGGAGGATGTTGGCGAGTGTTTCCGTAATGGGAAAGTTGTAAATTTTACCCACTTTAAACGGCTCAGTCATGCCCGTCTAGATCGAGTAGTTGTGCCTTCAGATTTTTCTCCTCTTCGCCATATATACCATGTGTGTCTAGTGTCGTTCAGTGGCCATTGTCTGATTAAGCTTTCCCTCCGGAGTAAAATTAACCTAAAAAAGGGTTCTATTGAGAATAATGGAAATTAAGCGCCCTGGCTGTTGCGAGATGAAATTTTTATGCGATGAGTTAAGACAGTGTATAATGAACGACAGACGGAGACAAATTAGGTGGGCATAGGTCAAAATAGGAAGTAGTTGAACAGGATATAAAGATAATGGCCATGGAAGGGGCTAGCGCCAATAAAATGAAGAAAAGAAAATGGAAAAGGCAGTGCGCTCGAACTTGCAGACGCTAGTAAAAGAAGAATACCGATCACCGGAAGCTTTTAAAAACAATAATTTATTTTTAAAGAAAAAAAATTGTTTGTTAGATAAAATTGTTATTGCGGCGCGCTTGTGCGAGCTAGGACCGACAGGCTGATAGCGCGGGAGGCGCCTACAAAGCGAGCTCTGTTAATGGGGAAAAACGTACGCGCGTCGTGAGATTCCAGGTATTGAACACGATGGCATGGTCATAAGCGATGGCGCCGAAATCGAGCGGGCATTTTTGCATTTCTGCCGTACATTATTTTCTTGCACTCCTGTCAACGTAGAGCGGCTTAAAAGCGATTTTTTCGGTGTTTATGCCGACATTCGACGACGAAACAAAATCAGTTAGAGAAGGACCCAATATGTATGAAGAAGTTAAGACGGAAATTGAAGCTTTGTACCCGGGCAAGCTGACTGGGCCGGACGGGCGTTGTATAAAGCACTCAAGCATACACTGTCTCCTGTTTTAGGGGTTGTTGTTAACGAGGCTTTTGACGTAAACACTATTCTGCTGCCTTCTTTCCTAACGGCTCATACCGCCTTAATTCATAAGAGAGAAAATGTCACTAAACTTAGGCGGGAAGCATCTATCAGTCTGACCAACGTTGACTACAAACTCCTAATGAAGATTTTAGCAAGAGTGCAAAGTGTAATAACTGAACTAGTTGGTCCTCATTAAATAATCCGGTATAAAGGCTAGGACCATGTTTACAAATACTCGCTCGCACAGCAAGGTGTGTCCTCGATTGTTGCGATGCCATGCATTCTCGCGGTGGATCTCGAGAAAGCGTTTCATTGGGTACCAGGTGACATCCTTTTGACTGTTCTTAATCATGTCAACGCAGGATCTGTTATACGGGAAGGAGTTGGCATTGCGTACAGTGGTTGTAGGACTTGCCGAATAGTAAATAAGTCAGTCGGAAAACGTATTCAGGTGCAGCGTTCTGTGCGCCAAGGATGTCCTTTTTCCTCTCTTTTTTGCATATGAATAGTAGCATGCATGTTTCATGCATGAGGCAGCAGATTCAGTGCCGTCGCCGACGGGTTATCGGGTTTTGTGATTGTTATATCTTTGTTACCCGTGGTGTGCGCTGATTTGCGCGCCGAGGAAAGGCGACGTGACGACGGAAGGAAGAATCGACGAGACGGGCAGTTCTGGGCTAGAGCTGGTTCAAGCAACACTTGGAGCTCGAATAAAGCGCTTTCCCCCCGAAAGGCTGGCTCCCTGCCTTCCCGGGTCCCACGGCGCCCAAACCACAAGCCGTGACTGGCGCAGTCGACAAGATGGAGCTCAGCTACGGAACCTTGGGGTGAGCGACCAGCTCCAACACCACACGGACGTCGCCGAGTTCAAGCAAGTCTGGATTTTTGCCTGCCATAAGCAACGGAGCGGTGGGTCCGGCATACCGCACGGACGTTGCCAGTTCAAGCAAGCCACGCATTTCGTCTACCATTTGCGACGGAGCGGCGAGTCCAAGAGCACAGCACGAACGGTGCTGACATCACGCAAACTCGGCTCATCGGCGACCATGGAACCGGACGCCAGACAAGCGCTTGGCGTGACCGGTGGGATAAACGCTGCATGACGCAGCCTCAGCGCAAGAACCAGCGTCGGAAAACAAGACTTCCAGGCTTCGACAGATACCGGAACTACTGCCTGAAGGCGGTCGAATGTGGACTTCAGTGGTGCACGGACCCTGAGACATTCGTGCTAGGCATTTCTGCTGCCAGTGCCTCCGACTGCCCATCGACGACGAAGAGCTGGTCAACCTGAATCGGTGAGCGCATATGCTTGTCTATTTGGGTTGAATGATCACTCAAGCAATGGCGAAGAACTATGAGTCGAGGAAAGGGGAGGGTAAAATGCCTGATAAACTTAAGGAGCCTGACGACGCATCAGAAGATGAGGGGAGAACATATTCTGAAGTGATGAACACTCGGTTGGGAATTGAAAAAATAAAGCTCGAACAAATACGGGCACAAATTGAGCTCCAAAAATTGCAGAGGGAGAATGGCGGCGGTGCCAACGGGGGGCTGGGATTAAAACCAGAATCTGGGGTAGCCCACTATGCTGCACTCTTGAGTAATGTGCTCAGCCGGATGCCCGTGGACAAAACCTTAGCGCCTGGCTGGTTCGAGGCGGTAGAAATCATATTTCGATCCTTTCAGGTTCCTGACGAGCTAAAAACTGTCCTGATAATGCCGTATATAGCTGACAGGGTCAGGTCAGTGATCATGTGCAGTGGTATGAAGGAACTGCCACCTTACGCTCAGCTAAAAGAACGAATTTTATGTGAACTAAGATTGTCTCCAAACGAATATAAACGACTGTTCAATACGACAGGCAAATTGCGGGAAGAGTCGTTGAGCCAGTTCGCCGGCCGACTTAATAGCTACTTCAGTTACTATCTGAACAGTAGAAAAGTGGAAACTTACCATGACCTGTTGCAACTAGTTGTCGCGGATAGGTTGAAGGAGTCTCTCCCCAATGAAACAAAAGCGTATGTTGCCTTGAACGAAACGGGGGAATGGCTGCGTCCCGAGGCGATAGCCAAGCTGGCTGAATGCCATCAGAAGAGTACTGCACAAAGGGTCCCAAAGCCCTACCACAAGACGGACACTACTCGAGACTCTGGTCAGAGCGAGTCTGTGACTCATCCGAAAGAGAGAGGGCTTACCGTGCATTTCGGCGACACTCGACGCTGTTTCGCTTGTGGGGAACAGGGTCACCTGGCAAGAAATTGCCCTGAGACCAATCCTAAGCTAACGGCACAAGTAAAAAGTCCTTTATACTGCGAACACGCTGAGCTAATATTCGAGGTGCATGATAAACTAGTACCGCTGGCTGAACAACACCAAGTGCTTGACGGAGAACGATATGTGCAACTCCGCTCAGGGGACAAGTACTTAAATGCCAGGATTGATTCGGGTGCAGACATTACAGTGGTTCGAAGGTCTATGGCCACCATTTTGGATAATCAGAAGAAAAAGGTTCGGTTGAAGGGCGCTTTCGGCCACGAGGTGGAGGCCGATCTCATGTATGTCCCTTTTCGACTTGGGAGCAATGCGCTTGACACCGGAGTGGATACTTTACTGCTCTGTGCTGTAACCAAGCAGCTTGACGGAGAAGTTGACGCACTACTCGCACCTGAGGATTTAGTAGCTTTAAGAGGAGTAGAACAGGAAAGGCCCTTCGCAGATCAGGTAAATCTTCCTGGTGAAGCTGCAGTCTTGAAGAAAGGTCCTGTGATAGAGGCATGTGTGGTGAGCACACAGTCGGCGGGAGAAAACGGGACTGTAGAGTCTGAGGACGAGCGAAGTGACGTACACAAAATAGAATCTTAAAGTTGCCTTCAGTTTCGAACAGAACAGAAGAACGACGAGTCGCTGAAGCCACTGTGGCTACAGGCGAAAAAAGGGACTCATGAAATACAAGTGCTTGATGGAATGCTGTTCCATAAAGAAAAAATAAATGGCAGAACTGTGGAGCAGTTAGTTTTACCGGAAAACAGGCGGAAGACGGTGTTAGAAGTAGCCCATGACAAACCAGTTGGCGGGCATTTTGCTCGAAAGAAAACGCAACAGCGAATTAAGAATTCGTTTTAAAGGCCGAATGTTCCAGTTATGAGAGCGCCAGATGCCAGCCAGCCCTTCGTTCTGTCCACTGACGCATCAGATAGAGCGATAGGGGCATGTCCTGCACAAAACGCAGATGACGGGAAAGAGTACCCGGTGGCCTTTCTCAGTAAACTTGCTGCTCCCCAAACCCGGTTTTGTGGGCCTCGGGTCAGTTGGAAACGTGGGTATTTGGGGCGGAGGTCGAAATTCGCACCGATCGTAACCCTTTGCAGTATTTAGCGTCAGCAGCACCAAATAGTGCGAGGCTGACTTGTTGGGCGCTTGCGTTGCAAAAATTTAACTTGAATGTACGGTATGTAAAAGGGACGAGAAACATCCCTGCTGATGCGTTGTCAAGGCTGTAGTGGGGAGGAGTTTTGTTTGGAGTTAAGGTACTTTAGACGTTCTTAAGCAGTTTGTCAGTCCTTCTTGTGATCATTCACGCCGAATGGACGGGAATGTGCGCGCAGTTCGCTTGTTCTAAATGCTACAAGTGTATAGGGATACACAAATTATGATTTTCTTTTTATTGGAAAAGGAAAAAAAAAAGGGGGGGGGGGCGTGTCATGCATGTAGCATGCATGAGGCAGAAGATTCAGTGCCGTCGCCGACGGGTTATCGGGTTTTGTGATTGTTATATTTTTGTTACCCGTGGTGTGCGCTGATTGGCGCGTCGAGGAAAGGCGACGTGACGACGGAAGCAAGAATCGACGAGACGGGCAGTTCTGGGCTAGAGCTGGTTCAAGCAACACTTGGAGCTCGAATAAAGCGCTTTCTCCCCGAAAGGCTGACTCCCTGCCTTCCCGGGTCCCACGGCGCCCAAACCACAAGCCGTGACTCATAGAATCATTTTGTTTAAGTATTATCAAAAATAGTAGAATAAGTGTATTTAAGCTATATTCATCCGAATTGCGTGTTTTGGTCTACGAGGATAATATTGCGATGTTTTTGTGTTTTTTTGCTTTTTTTAAACCAAGGAAGCATTGTCGAAGCAGTTAATACAGTCAAGTGGTTCTGTAATGTCGGTGGGATCGCAGTAAACTGGAATAAGTGTCCCGGTTTTTGGCACCGGGAGTGGTTTTCAACGCCAAGCGTGTTCACGAATAAAACTTGGGTATCCACTCCAATAAAGTACTTGGTAGTTCCGCTCGAGTACAACCGCGATAATGAGCCTTACTAGCACAGTTAGGTATTGGAGTTCCGTGACAAAGCGGCACAAGGGAGGGAGAGTGGTTTATTTACTTTTGCGCGTGCCACAGTTTGTAATTTGTTTCCTGTGACGAAGCTGCAGTACATTTTTCAAGTATTACCTTGTTCTCGAGTGAATGTAAAGAAATCTCATCGCGTTTTCGCAGTATTTTTTGGGGGCTCCTCTTGGAAGAAAATGAGCAGAATTAATCTCTTTCGTCGAGTTCGCGAGTGTGGACTAGGCCTGTCGCACCTGTTTCTGCGTCAGGTAGTAAATCGTTTTATTTTTTTTTTTCCTTTCACAAGTGATTCTTTCTTGCGAACCGTGCGCCAAGTAAGGCTGAATCGGTCTTTTCCAGAGTTTAGTAAGTGAGCCAGTATGCATTAATGGGTACTTCAAATATTTTGTGTCGTCATGCCGAATTTTAGCGTTGTTGCTTTTTTTTTTTGTCCCTATGTAGAGAGACTTGTTCTCTACAGGCACAGGCCTGGCCGCTTTAAAAAGGGTGACACGAATACAATTGCCTCCTTGTGTCAATATTCTTTTATTTAAAATGCACATCGATAGTCTGCCAGTAAAGACCTGGATGGAATAGAAGGGCATGTTCATCCTTTTGTGGGTTCACTACTAAACTTCGCAACTCGCATCTGATAAAACAACCTTTGCTGCCATAGCAATACCCGGAAGACATGAACTTTGTAAACTATGACACTTGTTGGTGGAAAGTTTATCGTAGACAACAAGGGCATGCTTGACCAAAGTAACAACATGGCTGACCTCATCTAAAGCTGAACGCTTGACCACGCGCATTCAGGTAAAGGGCTACTGTGTTTTTACACTGGCTACAGCAAATGCATCAAGAAACGTAAAATTAAATTGAGACAAAGTAATCTTAATAAGAACGTCCTACTATTTTAAGACAACTTCACTACAATTCCATGAAAACAATGTTTTTTATCGCTCAGGCTAGTGGTTTGTGTACATTGATCCCAATTGATATTTTCATGTGCACGCGGCTTTTCATCTGCACATTTAGGTCCAAAAGAAACATTCACTGAACCCGTTGCGATTAATGTAAAAAAATAATTGTTTCTTATAATGACCACATTTCTTAATCTAGAGAACTGACTATTTACTGCAGCCTGCAGTTTTTAAGTTCCCTTTAAAAAAATTTCACCTAAAAATGAACCGATCCTGAAATGTACGACATTTCGAATTTTGCAAAAAGGTTCACATAGTTCAATGTTTGTGGTGAAACATCAAAAAGTTGAGTACTGCGTATGGAACTTAAGCGGGTATCAAACTGACTACTAGCAAAATAGAATTGTTAATTGGGAAGTGCTTTGCACTCTTGTTCTAAATTAAACCATATTTTTTCAAGGGACATGACCCTCATCGCGAAGTAAGTATATCATATATGTTGGTAAATACTCAAAGACAAAATCAAAAACTCATAGGCTGGACATTGATCTTGGTAATTTCTCCGGAGAAATAATGGTTTCAAATTTGAGGCCTCCCAGCAGCGGTGGCTTATCAGTTGGTCGCACCATTTTACTTTTCTTTGTGTGAAGTGCGCATATCCAGTTCGTCGTCACAACAAAATAACTAACATTTTAGAATCGCTTCTAATGCCGGGCGCAAAATAGTTAGTTCAAAGCAATTTTATATCTTTTTTACCCTTATACAAAGTCACTGTTAATTAAATAAATATTGTAAAAATTCCAAAGCGATATAATATACAACCTTTTTTTCTCGGATACAAAACAATATCTTAGTATTAGGGGAAATTCGTTTATAGCAATACCAAACCTTAAGATTAGGAGAGCGGTTTGTGATACTGGCTGTGAGAAAATGTGGCTGTGCCGCACTTATAAAAAGCAATGGTAATCACAGGCTAACGCTACAATACCACAATTTTTAGATCGTCTAACATAATTAAAATATATTTAACAAAAACCAGGAAAAATACATGTTCATTTTTTTCCTTCAGTTCCTGACAACTCTTGTGAATAAAAAAAAATTAATTGACCACTTCGTTTTTGCCCCAAAGGCCTAATAACTATAACTATTATGTTTACCAATCTTCTCTATATTTTTCTTTTTATTTTCTGTCACAGTGGTGGCAGATGCGCGTTAAGTAACATTTCATTTACATTTGTTTCGTCTACCTAGTCTATTAGCAAAAAAAAAATAGTTTGAATTTCAATTTGGATTTAACGTGCTATTACAATAATTTTGGTAAATTTATTCCACTGCTAATTTTTTTGTTACGCGGTCGTCTTCTTTATACCGTTTTGTCCAGCGTTGTTAGGGATACAGGGAAGTGATTTTTTAATTTTGCTCGTGTATAATGGCAAAAGGAACGCAACTAAGCAATGAGCGTAGCTATTAAATTAGTTGATTGAGTTATTTGTGCTGACTTAAAACAACGCAATTCCTTGAAGCAAAGAAATAAAATTCGAAAATAAAAGTAGAAATATTATTCTCCTATGAGGTTCCCAATAGGGTAGTTGACGTTTAGACTCGACAGCCCCTTTGCTTGTGGCAAATCCGAGAAACCCTGTACTAAGACAACCACTTTCTCGTCCAGTAAAGTGATCAGTCAATCTGCTGCATACTTTCAATCAAAACTACAATTTTAAGAAAGTCGCTATGTGAGCAACCTAAAGAAAAAAGTTTTCTTTTTTGTAGGAGGCAGTCTAACTAAGGGGTCTTTATACGGGTTTTACCCAACTTGTGCAAAACACGCGAAGAATGCTCTATCTTGTGAAACCCCTGTCATGGTGGCAGGCGAAAATCTGCTCTATGACGTAGCGGTCAATTGGAGAGCCCGAGCCGGGGAAGTCCCTCGCTCAAGATCGAAACTGCGATCGGACCGGAGATAGCACGCAGACTCGACCTGCCGGAAACTGATTGGCAACCCCGTCGAGCTACGTTGCACAATTGTTTTCAGCGGTCCAGCCGCGGTTTCGACCTTTAGCGAACCGCCTCTCAGGCCTAGGCTGTTCCATTGAGCGTTGCGGCACGGAGTAATTATTGGGCTGCCGCCAGGATAACGCTCCCACGACTTAGGACACGGTTCGCGTGATTCTTTTAAGATTGGTCAGCATATACTTACTTGCGTTATATTAAGTTTTACGACTAAGATGAGTTTGATTTATTGCTCGTGAAGCTTTCTTTCTTTGTCACTATTTGTTTCCTCTCTACTGACGTCACAGAGTATCTGGTAAGCCGAGAACATTGAATGATAATGTTCAAGTTAAATGGGATTGTTTCCTAGTTTGAAGTTAGCAATTATCAAATGGTTATTAGAGGCGGCCGCTAAGCCCCCCACGGAGGCGTTATTGTGTTGAGCAGTACATTTGTGTTTTAATCAGCCTGTCCTATTGATGAAAGAAAACTGATGAAAAAAGATTCCGAATTGAAAAATATTTGGGGACGCCTTGGGATTTTTACTTCATCTATAACACACTCGCAATGTATCATCAATAATTAAAAGTGGCACGCTACGGAAAAAAAACCTTTCCTGTGCGAGCAA